TCAAATTATGCGACAATATGTTATTCCAACGGATAGTATATTCAAGTATCTCAATAATAGTAACATAAAAGTGAAATTGGTTATGGAAAATGAAGTTGGCGCATACCCGAGAAACAACATGTCCGGCGCGTGAACATAGAAGCGTTTAATCGACTATGCTTAGAAAAAGAAAGAGATAGAGATAGAGATAGAGATAGAGATAGAGAGAGAGAGAGAGAGAGAAAGAGAGAGAGAGAGAGAAAGAGCAAGAAAAAAAGAAGGGAGAGAGAATATTAGTAATTTTAACTTTTAAAATTAGGTTCCTTTTATTAAAAAGTTAGAAAGTGGGAGAACGCAAGCAAGAAAGCGCGAATGAAAAAGCGTGAGCGAGAGGGCACGATACTCGTTATCCTTTCTTATCGTTCTATAGAACTTGTCGCATCGTGTTACTCTTTACGACAAGTCTATACAAGTTCGTACCTCGAAAGTTAACCGAAGATTTTATTACCGTCGAATTAATTATGAAACCAAAACTTTCAAGACTGCATATATTCTTGTTGCAGGGAACCTGTTCGTGATAGCGGCTATCGTGATGGAACGAAATTTGCAGTCCGTGGCGAATTACTTAATCGTCAGTTTGGCCGTCGCGGATCTCATGGTCGCCTGCCTTGTAATGCCTCTCGGAGCTATTTACGAGGTACGTACTTCGATAATTGTGTAAAAGACGAGAATTATTACCGTGTTGCCGTGTCAGTCACCGGAAATTGGGGCCTGGAGCTGCGACGAAGTCGTGGGAAAAATCGTCATTTTGCTGCGCTCTGCAGACACGTCTGTGCGAGTCCGCGCCATATTGCGAAAAGACCGAGTTGCGCCTTTTCGTCAATGCGCTGCCGATAAATCAGAAGGTGGCGTTGCCAGCGTGAGATAGCGGTGAAATTAGTTACACCATGAAATTGGCGCGTATCGCGGCGAATCAAGATGTTGAACAGGCGGAAAAGTTTACACAAGCTGCGTCTTCGTATTCTTCCTATGACGAGTGCTGTTAATCGTGAGAGGTATTTATTACACAAACGCGAGGCAAAACGAGCCGTAATCTCTTTTCCGTCTCCTTGAGAAAATTGCATTACCATTTCCAGCGTCTCGATTCTCCGTGTGTCTCACGCACGAGCGGAGTAGTATTATTGTCGAGCAGGTTATGAAGTTGGATCTACGACGGTACGTATTTTTATTTACAGAAAACTCATTTGCAACGCCGACTGTGATCGTCAATTTGTGCCTAAATGGCGATGCTACATTCAGATGCGTCAATAATCAAACGCAACAGTCTCCCGTTTTGTCAGAATCACGAAACATATCAATCCGATTGAAGAGATACGATGTTTATTACGAGGATAAATGATCCGAATAATAAAAGTCTGACGTGTGCGACGTTTAGAAATGTCGAAAAATTTACTTAGCGAATCGCCGAATGTAAAATCACGCGTACGGCTACGCGTACACACTAAGCGTTCGTTCATTGTGCGCTTTATTTATGAGCATATGAACGTGACGCCATGTCCGTTCTAACCTTGCGACTTTGTCCATTCTATTCACTTTGAATTGGCCTAGTATATGGAAAAAAACTTTGTCAACACGTCTCCCAGTCGAAGTCAAAGAATATTGTGCGGAACTCAGGAATATTCCAACAAAACAACATACTTTAGTACCATATGTATATACATATAATTATTATAAAATAACTCTTTAAAAGAACACATCCTATAAATAATTACACTAGTAAAGAAAACGAATTGGCACAATTATATTCTGAATTAACAACACAACTTTAAAATATGTGTTTCTCCAACAAGAAACATTATGGTCAAATGGAAAAAAACAGTTATATTAATATAAAGTATAATGCAAAATCATCAATTTAAATTTTATCGAATAAATAAAAATTTTACCAAATTCTCAATTCAAGTAATAATAAAAATACATCTGTATTTTTATAACAAATTTAATAAATCCAAATAATAAATCCGATTTTTTTTAAACAAAAGGAAATTTATTCAACGTTTTACTGAATATAAAATCGTGTACATCGGCTACATTACTTTAAAAATGTACGAACGCTGTTACAAAAAAAAGTCGCAAAAGTAATAAGAAAGTATTAAATTAATTAATGTTTAAAAATATGTATTCCATGCAAATGTCCGTTCTACGAATTAACTATTCCAAGCGAAAAAATGAGCAGATATGATTATATTAACATAATTTTGAAATATGTATTCCCTCGATAAAATGCATTGTAACTAAATGAGGAAAAATGTATACGCTAGTGTGAAATGTAATGCAGGATCATCTGTCGGTGGGTAAATTTCACCGAGGAAATAAAAATTTTGCGGGATTTTCGACGGTTGAAGAGCGAGACATTCTCTTCGCGCGTAGAACGTCGTTCTCCTTTCGCGTTGCACCCTCATTGTTAGACTTTACTCCACGCTCCGTTGCAGCCATTCACGGATTTATAACGCTCGTAAGAAGCCGCGACGGTATACGTACGCAAGTTCCTACCCATTTTTACCTTTAGCTTTACCACAGCAACATTCGCGCCGGGGAGGAAACTGCGCTCGCTTTCCCCGAGGATTCGACGTTTAAACGCTAAATTCCCAGCCGAGAAAGTTTGCTAATTATACGTCTTACATTGACGACGGCGGAAGATCCCAACGAAAACCGGCCGCATCAACCACGACGATTTATCGCGCTCGCGCTTCGCGAATTTTCACGTGGAATTCCAGTCGCGCGCGCGCGCGGTCGCGAAAAGTTGTGAAAAGTACGCGGGGTCTCACAGCAAAGAGAGTCCAGCAATGATTTACACAGGCACTGGAAACTTAATTGGCTGGGAATTACCGAGCGAAATTTATATAATCAGCAACGCGTGACGATCACGACGAGACAATTTGCGAGAGTAACGCGATTCATCGCGTACGTGACGCGTCGCATAAATATTCAGCATGTGTACGTTTTAGAATTCCTCACGCAAAATTTATGCGGTACTTTAATGTATACTTCGTGGTCGACTTTAGAATTTTATCTCGGTCGTGATATTTTTTACACGATGTGTAGAAAACGAGAAAACGAAAATGTCACGATCTTAACAATATGTCGTTAACGCCGATAATGTCACGATCGCAATCTGCAACCTTTATAAAAGCTAGAGACCGAGGAGTTTTCTATATCGCGGAGTATCTCCTTTTGTGTACTCAGCGCAAACACCGCGCAATGAGGGAGAATGTTGTTACACATATACATATTCAACAATTAAGGAGCGAGTACACAGAGATAACGAGCGTTATAGCGATATGTACATACGAATGATTAGCTTTCGATTCCAGTGCGCGTTCGCGAGCCAAGCTGCGGGTATTTATACTTAATAAGCGTTAGTAAATAACCGGGGAAACGGCAACGTGTAATGGGAATAACATCGGCGCTAATTATCGAGGCGCTTTGCCGCGGCTTTTCGACGTTATCCAATTAACAAAGACCTCTCATCGGGAATTGCCGCGAGGGGTAAACACGCGTGATGTATTCTACCGCGCGCATACCGCGATTCATTTTTCAACGTGCCCGCTTTTGAGATACGATGTGTGACTTGTACACCACGAATACTAAAATTACGCACGGAAATTCGCATTATCGCCGCTGTGGCACGAGTTCGATTATTCATTCGCGCTCGGTATAAAGGACAAAAAATAAGGGGAAATCTTACGCTTTTCCATATGAGACAAGTCTCATTTAATTACGCACATTAGCGGTCATAGCGGTCTGTAGCACTCTTCCTCTCCTTTTCTCTCTCTCTCTCTCTCTTTCTCTCTCTCTCTCTCTCTCTCTCTCTCTCTCTTTCTCTCTCTCTCTCTCTCTCCCTCTCTCTCTCTCTCTCCCTTTTTCTCCTCTCCGAGAGAAATCTCTCCGCCAGCATATATCCTTATTTAGATCCCCCGTTTTCTTAACGCAGCCTCTCGCGCTTCGCCATCGGCTGGCTCTTCCTCTATACGTATCCCATCTCAGCACTTTTTCCCTCCCCTCACCCCACTTTTTCTTCATATTATATTTCCGCACTCTCTCTTGCTATATCTCTCACAAGCACACCTGGGTTTTCCTCTTTTTCGCTTTTCACGAACGTTTTCAGCGTGGGACGGTTCGTCCACTTCTCTCTCTCTCTCTCTCTCTCTCTCTCTCTCTCTCTCTCTCCCTTTTCGCCTCTCGCGTCCTTTAGCCTCCTCCTTTAACCTTTCTCTCGTCAGTTATCGACATTTCCCGTACGTTACCATTTAATGCTGCAGTTCTATCTTGAATTCTATTTCGGCCAATATTCTCAAGCGGCGACGGACGCATCAGCGATTTTCATCAGCGCCGGACATACTAAATAGCGCTGCACAAAAATCGCTCTCGTTCATCGCCTTAACGGACATATCGAAATTTATACGTCTGCCGTTTGATCGTAGCCCGCAGCATCGAACATTTGATGGATGTTCGCTTTACAACCGCCTGTTTCGCTCGGGCGTTTATCGGCGGACACCAGAAACGCCTCACGCGAACGACTTCATTAACCGCGCGTGCACACGCGACCCGCTCGATTAAACCCTTTAAGACGCGCGACGATAGGAGGAGGGAAACACCTGACGACTCACGCCGACGCTCGTTGTTAACCATTGTTGTTAACAATTGATCGCATCGATCCCGGTTATAAAACGAGAGGGAGACGTGAGAAACGGCATGCTCCGTCACTCGCGTCCCCCCCTTCGCGGCCCCCCTCGATCCGTACCCGCGATCCGGAGATCCGGAGATCGCGTCGAACTACATACGTGTATCGTTAACGATATATAACGACCTGAATTATAACGGCCCTTTAATCTTGCTTTTCTTCAATTTGCACATTTGCTTCGATCGAACACACAAACGCCGGTCCGGTTTCAGTTGAAAGCTATCGAGCTATCGATATACAAATATGTGGCGCGGCTTGGTTGCAGAATTTCATACGGGCATATAGATAATGCGTATCAATCTGTGCGCGGTTAAAATAATTTCACACGTGACAGACGCAGAAGTGCTGGGCTCACGCCCAGCCGTCGAAGTTTCGCCGCAATATTTCGAGAACATACCTTCTGCGCAGTTTGCGCAGTTAACGACGTTAACTCGCGCGCTTGATTTTGCGGGAAATAACAGGAGAGAATCGATCGAGCGGAGCGTAGTCGCGGCCGGTTGTAACAACAGCCCTATCTCTTATCACGTATCACTCTCGAGCGAATCCCGGCAAAACGTTCCCCCATCCCGAGTAATGTCGCGCAATCGGCATTACTTTTGAGAGGTGTTTATATTTTCCGCGAAATGGACGCGACTTATCAACTTCCGGGACTTTCTGATCTCAAAGTATAAAGGAACGGATGTCTATGGCGAGGGTGTCGGCACGCTGAAAGGAGGACAAAGGACGATTGGCTTTCGACGATAGATTCCAATACCATGAATGGACTTTTAAGCAGGCATGCATCAGCCCCTCCCTCCTCCGCCCTCGCCGCAACTTCTACAACATCACTCTTACCGACACTCTGCTCTCTCCCTCTCTCTCTCTCTGTCGGAGCACCCCTCACCTCATTGTCCCTCGACTGCCGCTCCGCTTGGATGTTTTCCCTTTCGACCTCGATCCGTATTTTCTCGCGCAGCTCCATTGCCACACGGCGCGCGCGGACGACCGTCGCGCCAAACTATGTGCAATCCTTAACATACTAATCAGCCGAGCGACCCCCGTCAACGCGGATAAAAATAAATCTTATTTACTCGACAATTTGACGTTTCACGTCACCGTGCGCTTACTGCGCACAAAGACTATTTCTGTGTATTTTCTTGAGGATGACATATCGATTATACCGAGCGGATATGATACTTTCGAGAGGGATTATGGCGTAAATAGCAGTTATATGTTTCCGAGGAAAGGAAGTAACGAGTGGAGCGCGTTAGGAAAAAAATTGTACAATTTAAAATGGTACAATTTGTTGGCGCTCGTTCCCGCTTGAAAAAATCATGCGTTGGACTTTGTCGCCTGCTAATTATAATAATAATCATCAGGCAGACAGAAAGAGAGAACGAGACAACTGTGTGTGTGTCTCGTATTTTTGCAATAGTGCACCGATCATGTGCTACTTTTACGTGATGTAACATGATGTTACGTGTGTAACATGTAACAAGCGTGGGAAAGGAAAACAACGTTCGTCCATTGACGCGCCTCTATGTTCTCCGAAGGATTTCGGCGCGAAGCGCGCGGCCGCGGCCGCGGCCGCGCATCGATCTCGCGCCGCCCGCGTTAGACACGCTCCATGATAGATAATTCTGTTTATTGCAGATAAAGTCGCGATGGTCACTCGGCCCGGAACTCTGCGACATGTGGACCAGCAGCGACGTTCTATGTTGCACAGCCTCGATATTGCATCTGGTGGCTATCGCGGTCGACAGATATTGGGCAGTCACCGATATCAATTATATACAGGTTAATTAACGCCGTTGCGGTTATTGAGAGGAAGTAGGAGATCGTCGGGAACGATGCAGTCGTCTCTCGTTGTCCGTTGCGCGCCCCTCACGTCGAGCGACGTCGGTCGACAAAAATGGCGAGACAATCGTGTATACGTGAGTGCCGAACGCGAACGCTACATGTCGCGCGCCGTAGATCTCTTTGAATAATAGCCGGAAGACCGGCGTGACGCGCGAGGAAATACTGTTTTATCAATCCGAAAATAGTGCACGCGGAGTCCGAATGGGACCCGGCGGCGACGCGGGAAACGTCGTCCGATTCACACGGCTGTATAATACAATTTTCCGCGACCCAAGCTTAAACGTTACTGCTGCCGTTGCACGCGGAAAAATTTTCCTTCGCTGCTGATTCTTCCGAGGCAAAGAAAACCGAGGCAAATATTCTCTGCGACTATTTGTGGACGCGTTTCTTTCCGCCCCTTTATAGTTTTTACTTCCATATTTTTTATTCTCGCTCAGAATACTTTCCGGTCTCATTCCTCGCCTTGAAACCGAACAAGAATTATTTCGTTCCGCGCATGCCGTCGGTGAAGTTCAACCTTGTTCTTGTCCGAAATTCGACTCTCCATGACGCGTCTCGACACTCGCGCTCGGTTCGGATACTTCTTTTACCCGCGAAATAAAGACATAAAATCACTCGTAAATTTTCGTCGAAAATTCCGAGCCCCCCGGTGCGAATTTCCTCCTTTCTCTCCGCAGGACGCACACGCGCAGCGTGATGTAACGAGAATTATGGCGAACCTCCGCTCATGTAGTATGAAAAAGGGTAGGACCGTAAAGCGAAACGCGCGGCCGGGAACGGGAACTTCCCGTTCCCCGTAAATATAGTCTGACCAGAGATGAGACAAATGTGCAATACCGGCGTGCCCTTTCTCTCCCTCCGAACGGCTTAAAGTTTGTTCGAAATTAGCTTAGAGCCGCCTCGATAAGCTCGCGCTTCGGCCGCCAGCCGGCCGAACTTAACGGTTAGCTTCGCATCTCCTAACTGACAGAAAGAGCCGCGTACGGTCCCTCGGGTGACGGGTCGATTACGTTATAAATAATCGAGCGAACGAGAGAAATTAGCGAGTCATGCGAGGAGTCCGCCGAGGGGAGAGATCCGCAGATAGAGCAGGCGCCGCAATTTCCTCGAACGGACCGACGGTCTTGAGCGCGATCTCGACGGGAAAAAGAACAACCAACTTTACGAGCGCATCTAATTAAAAGTTTAATTTTCTGATACAAGACAGTGTTCTTAGTAATGCGCGCCTGTGTACGCGGCCTCATGAGAGAAACGTAAAATTTATCAGCAACAGTAAAATGTTCCAACTGCCCGGTGACGATGCCCCAGCTACCGTGCTCTTACTTTAATGTATACAATTTCTCACGATTTCTAATAAATTCGGGGTGTAGCTGTGAGACATTATACACGAGAATTCGTAACGAGATGAGATATTTTTACGTCGTGCTTACAGCATCGCGACGCGAATGCATATTCGCGCGCTTAGAAACCAGATAAAAATCGCATCGCGAGCGGTTAGACGTCCGATGATAATGATAACTGCAACGTGATAGAGGAGGGAAACGAGCGTCGGTTTTAAGCCGACGAGGGCCGGCGGTAACGTCATTAAAGCCGGCTTTTCCATTTTAAGGCGAGGAATCCGAGAAGAATCGGCATCCTGATCGGCACTGTATGGGTGGTGTCCTTAGGAATCTCATTAGCACCCCAGCTCGGATGGAAGGATCCTGATTATTTGGGCCGCATAGCCGCAGGGACGTGTCTCGTATCGCAGGATCCTGCATATCAGGTGAGTACTTTCGCAGCAAGCAGAGAGAACTAGATCCGAGATACACACGACTGGGAATTGCGTTTCGCGCACTCGAGTTGCGAAATTGCTCGGGACAGTATTGACGATGTCGGGCGGTCGAATTTTGAGTCACTCCGAGGTACATCAGGTCAAACTATAGCCTCTCTCCCGTCGTCGTAGAAGAACGGTCGTCATTTTGCGAATGGTGTTTTCGAAAGTCTCTTAAAACAAACGACGAGATCGGACGTATCAAACGACCGAAATCTCCATTCGCTTAAATATTTTACTTAAGACAGCAGATCTTATTAATGCTCACGTTTTGCTTCGATATGGATAATCCGATTCGCGAGATAAATTTTAATTCTAACTCTTTGGTCTGTTTTACCTTCAGGCTTTCAAAAACATGAACTGCAAAGCTGAAAGGTATCTCTACGAAAAGACGGGGAGATTTTTTTGCTTTCGTATTTTTCTTTGCGAAATTCGCTACTTAGAACGTTCTGTGAGTCAATCTCGTCGCGCACATCGTTCTGAAAGAGCGCAAATTACCTTGCAGATCTTTGCAACTTGCGCGACGTTTTATGTTCCGCTTTTCATCATCTTAATCCTGTACTGGAGGATATTCCAAGCGGCGCGAAGCAGAATCAGGAGGAGGCCCGGAACCATCCTTCAGCCTCCACGCGAACGAAGAGGCATCCTCAGGCTCGTCACGAGAAGGTTGTAGTCTCTTTGTTCCTTGCTTCTTACGTCGCAAGGCTCTTTTCCTCCAATCTCTCTCTTTCTCTCTCTCTCTCTCTCTCTCTCTCTCTCTCCCTTCTTCTCTCTAAATTACGTCTCGAATAATAATCGAACGTGTCATTGTTCACGGTTGCAATAAACTTGAAGGGCGCGAGAAGCGACAACGTGCTAAGCCACTTAGAATAAATCTCGCGACGGCGAGCGACTGAGGAATGACGTAAATCGTTCATGAGATTTAGTCTCCTCTCTTTATACACGTCGCAACACGGCGTGCGGGATTCTTTTACGTGGGTATCACATAATTTAGCGCGTAAATAAATATTCTTAGCGCGCGGCGTTTTATCTGCTCAAGTGGCTTAGCATGCTGTTGCTCTGTGTTTTTATCTCAATGGATATAGTGCAGGTCTTCGCTGCGAGAACCAAGGTATGAATTTACCCGTTGATCGCTCTGCCGCAAGAAAGATCTTGTCGCTACTTAATAATTGCATACCTTCTCTGCCTCGTGTCTGAAATAGACAACGCTTGATATTATACGAATATACATCTACCTCGCAAAGTGGTTTCTTTTCTTTCTTCATTCAATCACGACGAGTATTTGACTGTGTGTGTGCGCGCGCGCGTGCGCGTATGTGTGTTTGTTTAATATTGTCTCAGCGCTGTTAGAATTACTGCTTTAGAACAAGTCTGATTGATCTCTCGCATTTCTCCTGTCCTTACATTTCTGTGCTCTACCTCTATTTGACGATTTTGTTACTGAAAAGTAATTACCATAATCGCGCAAAGTGCTATTGTTCGAATTGCATTCTACCAAGACGCTCGTCTCTCTGTAATTTCTCTCGTTATCGTTATACATAAACTATCATGCTTATTATGAAATCGGTCTATAGTTTCGTGCGTATTTACTGCATGTTCTCTCTCTCTCTCTCTCTCTCTCTCTCTCTCTCTCTCTCTCTCTCTCTCTCTCTCTCTTACGATTAATTTCTGACAAAGAACGTCATATAAATATTGCCAATTGAAGGAGAAATAAAATGTCTCGTTTATTGCTCTCGCTTTCCCTTTAGAAATACGCATGAACATATAGACTGACCTAATCTATCATTCCTTCTTTCATGCAATTGCTTCCTGTCCCGCTAATTTGACGTTTAGAAACACCAAGCCTCGTTATTTATCAAAAAATAAATATACAAAACATATATTTCTATAGCTCTCTTCATCCAACGTCGCTCTCCCACGCGATGTTTTTTCAACAAAAATTCCTAATGTTTTTTCAAACGAACGAGTTATCCTTTTCGCGATAACGAACTAGCTGACACGCGTCTTCCCTCCTTCTCCTTTTTGTCTTTTGACCAGCGTAATTTATTTGGCGTAGGCCGCGGGAGGAGTCAACTGCATTCACCATAACGAGATCCACGCCGGACCACTCGTCCATATCGCCGGAGAAGTCGTCATCGTACAACGGGGCGAACGTAACCCCGTCGGCGACGGTGACCCCGACGGCGGTGTCCACGACGACGACCACAACGACGCTGACGAATCCGACCAGCACCAGCCAGCAGCAGCAGGTGGTCTCAACGAAGCGCACCCGCGAGACGATCGAGTCGAAGCGAGAGAGGAAGGCGGCGAAGACCCTGGCGATCATCACCGGCGCATTCGTCGCCTGCTGGCTGCCTTTCTTCCTGGTAGCGCTGCTGCAGGCCGTCTGCGAGGCCTGCAAGCCGCCCGATTTTGTGGCCAGTTTGTTCCTGTGGCTCGGATACTTCAACAGCACCCTCAACCCCGTGATTTACACTGTGTTCTCGCCGGAATTCAGGCAGGCATTCAAAAGGATGCTGTGCGGTGGTACGCGGGGACTTCGCTGACAGTGGATTTAATTCCTTTGCCGTGTACGGCAAATATGCTACGAGATGCGTGAAACTTGTACATATATACATATATATATATATATATATATATACAACATATATACATATATACATATATGCCACGCACACACGCTCACTACCGGCGTTTTCTTCGACCTGGATACTCGAATCTAGTTGCTTCGAGCCGATCTCGCGTATCTAGATGCGACATATCGAGATTAATTATTAACACTTTTAATTATTAACATCGTTAAATTTCATGGAAAAAAATCTTTGCAGAATCCAACAAACACATTCTTTTTTAATTTTTACGCTTGGCAATCGTTCTACTTGATGCGAGAGGTAGAATATTATATGTTTTTCCTTTCCCTCTCTCTCTCTCTCTCTCTCTCTCTCTCTCTCTCTCTCTCTCTCTCTCTCTCTCCCCTTCTCCCTCTCCAATATATATATTTTTGTTGATTTTAGAATGTATTTTTTCCCAACATCTTCACAACGTAGATCGATTTTATCAGCATCTAGATACGACGGACGGTATCCAGCGCGACACTGCTTCTTCCCTCTATAGCTTTTCGCGAGGTAGCCGAACCATGCATCATTACCTTCATAGACACTTCTAACGAATAAAAATCAACGGCTCGTTTCCGTAAGCGATAGATAAAGTTAACTGAAGTTTCAGCCGCGCGACGGGCGCTAAGTACTCTCATTGTCAGCGTTAACCGACGGTAGAGAAGCGATCCTACGCAGAATATTTTTGCGAAACACCTCCTCTGAGCGCCGGAGGATCAAACGAACGACGGTGGCGCAACATTACTCGCGATTCTGATCGAACGAGCGTAAATATGCGGGAAAGGTAAAAGAAAACGAGTACCGAGATCTCCACCAATATATTTTGTCGGAATGGAAGTCGAAGCGTAAACCGGCCGACGGACATACGGATCGATGGTGGGAGTTCGCTCAAGGAATGTATATTTAAGGTATGACTATATAGATGTTTCTTTTTTTTCCAATTACGGTGTAAAAGTAAATAAGCGGAGGAACATACGAGTGGCCAAGTACCGCAGATGTCTAACTCATATGTATAATATAATCCTGTACATTTTAAAAAAGAAACAAAAGAAAGAGAGAGAAAGTAGGATGCAAAACCGCTTGTAAATTTACTTTCCGAAGCTTTTCCGATGCTTCATTTAAACGGCAAGAAATATAGCTCTCCGATATGTACGAATCGTTATTGATAATCAAATATTGAAAATTACGAATTAGCTATCTAAGGTACTTCGATCATTCGTACGGTACACGCTTAATGCGTCACGCTAAAAACAACAAAGAAGTGAGACAATATTTCTCACATTTTGTCATCCAGCGTAGGTTCTTTGAAGCACACCCTGAGGGTGATGAGAAATCGCGAGAGATGCTTGCCGCAACGTAACTCTGTAACGGTATTGCGTAAGCTGACGATAATGCTTAGCAATCGTATACTTCCGAACGATATTATTAAAAAATAGCTGTGTATAAAAGCAGAAAAACTTTTCAATCTTGGCTCGTCTTCAAAGTACATATGTAATGACGTCTAAGTGTACGTTAAGATTTACATGAATATAGACGTGAACGTGGACGTTAACTGAAAACGTTGCGAATGACTACGATACGACGGATTCCCCTTTCGGGTCCATCGCGATCTGTATAAAATTTCCATCTTTAAGTAAAAAAGTAATGCAACCTCACGGTCGACTCGCGCTAGGTACACCTTACGCTTTTTAACTTGGTTCGAAGTTAAAAGTACGGAGAATTTCCCAAGTGTAAAAGATTCTCGCCTTATGAAGATTTGCTTATGCGACTTTTCTCATACCGAGTTTTTTAATAAGAACTATATAAAGTGTGTCTCCAACGAGCGACAGAATTGAATAGAAAGGTTCGTGATTTTCTGCGTGCGTATGGCTATGTCTTGCATGTGTGTGCGTGTGTATAGGTTGCGTGAGTGTAGGTACGCGTGTAGCGGAGTTTAAGATTTATTTTCACGAATGCGGGTATCTGGCACGCGAATAATTGATGTGAAATGATAATATCGGTGCGTGGTGTAATAACGACAAAGCGCGAAACGCAACATCACGATCTAATCGCTCATATCGTAAATATAACATTAGAATCGAAAGATGGAATGGCCGGACCTGCAGGCAATCGTCGTCTCTCTTGTGTAAATTATCTCTATTTAAAGTGAAAATACCATCTGATATTCTCCGAGATATAATTTTAGCCTTGCCATTCAATTCTGCGTCTTCTAGCGAAGCCTCTGAATTTACGTAGTAACAGCGCACGTCCTGTAATATTACTGCGTAATACATGCTGTAATATATTACCATGTAAAAAGTATGACGTTTGATTTTCAGAGCAACGACTGATTGATACACACACACACACACACACACACACACACACACACACACACACACACACACACACACACACACACACGCATATACACATTCACACATACACATACACACTTACACATTCACACATACACAAATATTGCGCAAGCGTGCGCGTGTACTATGTACTTAACGAATAGGAATTGAAGAATGTGGCTCTCTTTACGTTCGTAACGTTTACACTTGCAAAACGCCGGACGCGAGTGCACGTGCATTCATTTTGTTTCTACGTCTACTTACGAAGCCGCTGGGCTCTCGCTCTATTTAGAAGTAAGCATAGTCCTAGATTAATCATAATAATGTATTAGGCTGATTGTGATAAACGGCGACAATAGCTTCCTCTTCGTCAGAAATGACGAGACTCCACCCGCCCCACCGCCTGCCCTGCCGATGATTGCTTTTCAAATGTGGAGCAACATATCGCGTCGTACTATTAAAAATGATTTTGAACAAATACTCGCAACCGCACTATATCACCGCACTTTTCGCTTCGTACGGTAAATTAATTTTCTCTGATTGTTACTACATATACCAAGCGCAGAATTCATAAGATAAAAATAATGTTGCTCGAGAAAATTGAAAAAAGATACATATGAGATATCACACAATGAGATGGCGGGATATATTCCTTGGCAAGTGTCAATATTAGCGTAACGATCAGTTGAACGAATCAATTAACACTTAGCGGGTGAACTCTTCTCACTTCTGACGACATTGTTGCTGAAATAATGACGGCAATATCGGATACGCTTGCGCTATCTAATTATGTCACTGGTCGTCGTTCTACTCATACGACATGACTAATAAAATATAACATTTTGTTCACACGCGTTTATTTTTTACGTAAGTTTCTGGAAAAGCGAAAGCGACGAAATGTTGCCCGCTGAACATTTACAGCAATTTCGGGGCGAACGCTCAGAGTACCATCGACGTTGAGTGATGAGCTCCGAGTCGGGAAACGAGTAAAAATTCATCGTGCGAATATCTATCGCAAGCGCTGAATCTGAATGTTATGGAACGTATATTTCGTGGTCCGATGAAGTACGCCGCTAAGAATTCCAATTAATGAAACGCTGGTGACGCTCGATGAGACCGATGCAATCGATTTAACGTAGCTCGGCCACTGATTAGATACAACGCTCGACATTGGCCCATTAATAACATGCCATCGGGATGTCGGGAGAGCGATCGAAAATGATTTGTTCTCGTCTAACGACGATGCAACGCGAAGTAAGCCTCGGCGATATGCGCAGTGGATAACGCTGGGCTGATCGCTCAATGTTTGCTGTAAATCGACGAACAATCGTATCAACGATCGTGCGGTAGCACGCCTTCCCGCATATTGTCTCATGCAAGCATAATATATAGGCTGATAACATTGCGAGGAGCGCAGCGAAGGGAGAGAGAGAGAGAGAGAGAGAGAGAGAGAGAGAGAGAGAGAGAGAGAGAGAGAGAAGGGAGAGGACACGTTCGCCAGAGACAAACAATGCTATCGAGAAGCGAATGATGATCAACGAAATGAAGATATTATCTAGGGGATTAAGCTGTGAAATAACGCAACCACCTGGATGATAAATCCGTTGACGTAAATAACATGTATGTTTGCTCGTATGTCTCTTTTGGAAGCATTTCGGCTAACAGGCGAGTAAGCTGAAGGGATAGAAAAGAAAGGAATGAAAGCTGGAGAGGAAATAAAAGGAGATATATATTGCAATGACATACATGTACATATATATATATATATTTGCAGTCGTAAAATAAAATAAATGACAGAAAAATTTGGAGAAATTTACTTGAATCGCGCGTGTTCTTCGTATATTTGTAAAGCTTCTCTATTTCTTTCTCTCTCTCTCTCTCTCTCTCTCTCTCTCTCTCTCTCTCTCTCTCGTCTCTCCCGCGGCTTCACCCGAAATTGTGGACTCTTTCCCCCGTTTTCCCCTCATAGTCTCGCACTCCGTTAACACCATTTGTCATCTGACTTTTCCGATTACCATCTATCACCGGCAACCCTCCGTGTATATACAAGAGACATGTAAAAGACACGGTATAAAAAAAGGACTCCGTCTGAAAAACGTCCGAGGGACGTCTGAAAAATTAGGAGACGTATCCATATCTCACATTTGCAGCTAAATGTAGACGTCCTGCCCGGCCCGATGTGACATTGCGTGACAGTCTGATATCGCGGAAATAAAATTCCCTCACGTCCCGATCGCAGGGGCGCAATCGTATTTAACGGCTGAACGCGCAGCACGGGTGAACCGGAAGATCCGGGACTTCCTCTGGACGTTTTTACGAGCACCGCGAGATTCCTGGTGGTCGCGACACGCGGCCGCGCTTGATATACGTTTGCCGTGAGAGAAAAACGATATATTACGTGTGGGACGTTGCCAAAAACGACACGCTTGACCAAGCCAAAAGCGCTCGATATTTCGCATTTCCGCGATGATATTCCGTAGGATCGTTTGTGCATTACGAGTTAATAGTGCCACGCTGCGACACCGAGATTGCCATGGAATATCCGCTAACGCAATTATAAGGCAAATTACGAGCAACGGCGTACGACTAGTATTTCATCCTGTCCCGCCGCATACCTCCTCCCCGAGCACGTACAGCAACTAAAACCAAGAAATACATTCCTCTGGATATTAATGTGGCCCATTTACTTATCGCATAGCGTCGCTCGTCTTATCGTGTACAGACCGAGGCGCTGACGCGGACGACGTTTTAGAGAACAGGCCGTTCTCTTCGGGCTAAACAAAGGTAACAAGCGATGGAAGGAGTTACGCAACTCCTTTACATCCGTTTCTGATGCGCGTACTGTGCGCATCAGACAAAGTTCAATTAAATTGGATTCAGTCGGAACATTGATTAAATCGTTCCCCGTGACAAGAGAGTTAAAACTACTATCACTACATTATCGAAACATGAGGAAGGCTTTCGCTAATGAAGAACAGAATGGCTGCAGCAACAAAGTAATTCCGAAAATTTGAATTTTTATTTCTATTTTATCAGAGCAGCGAGAAATAATTATTTAAATGCAGATGATGCATGTTTGCGAAGAAGTCGATCTATTATTCGTTATTCTACACACTTTATTCTACTGTATCTAAGAATCTTTCAGAAAGTTGTACGTCGAATAGGATATTTTAAGGATCTGCAAAGTAAATAGCACACCTAAGTTGCCTCGTCGGAATATTTTCAACTTTGACCCGATCCAATCTCGAATATACTAACGCTCATGAAGGAATCGAGGGTTAAAGTCACCACGTGACCGCTTGACATCGTGAAGGGTTTAGAAGCGCACATCATTATTATCGTGAGATCCTTCATTACTTGGACTCTCAATGTTGTCCAGTTCATTTCGTAGATGGCATTGCAAACTTCAGCGCTCTGCACGAAATTAATTAAAATCATTATTGATGATTACTTATTATATTTGTTATATTATTATTATATCTTCAGTTAATATGTTTTATGTGATCACCTTGGAAACGTTTGAGCTAAAAAGTTCTTTCATTCTTATCTTTATTGTAGCACTTATCACTGAATAAATTCACTCATTATAATACCACATACAAAAATATAAAATGACATCACAGAAAATAAAAAAAATATATTATTGAATATTAAATTATTATTCTCCCCTCTCGACAGGAAAAATATTTATTAGGGAACAGCGATCTTAAAATTCGAAGAACAAAAATAACAAATGACCTCTACCTTCAGCGTTACCTCGTTACCGTACCAGCAATAAAGAAATATCTGCGTCAGCATCGAAGCCAGGTAAGAAAAGAGATGCGCGAATTCAGGCGTAAATAGCGATGTCATGTTGGACATTTTATAGACGCTCAAGCAGAGAACAAAGGAGATTATAGAGAATTGGACGAACATGATCAATGCAAAAACGTCATTGACCGTATATGCAATTCTACAAGTTGTGTGAAAGCTCGGTTATTGTTTCTATCCGCAGCTTTCGCGAGACAATACGAGACAATAAAACGGATAACAATTGCGGAATTTCATTTTTAACAGTTCATTCGCAGGTGAGTACTCACTTGTACACGTAAAGATGGTACCGTATCAAATCTCGCATAATCAATTTCTCACGCGCTCTCAGATCCTGCTCCGACCCGCCGTCCTTCTCAGCTTGCATCAGCAATATCGGCAATATGTGAGCGCGATGGCACAGAATCTTGAATTGAGCGCAAATTTGGATCATCAGGCCGGAGATCAGAGTCTCATGCGCGACGCTGGAATTGGCGCACAGACATAAACCCACTGACTGAAACAACAGCACAAGCACGAAGACGACCGTAGACGAAAGGTCAAATGGCGCCCAATGGTACACCGGTAAAGTGCGCCTCTTCAAGAGCAGAAAGAACTGCCCGAAGGTCAGAACAAATGCGCTGGATACGTTTAGAAGTTCACAAGCGATCGTGATTTGTCTGCGAAGTTCGAATTATCCAAAGTGTACTTACCAAATGTTCGGTACAAATTTCTTGCCCATTTCTTAATCGATTATACATTGATCTTTCTTAAGTGAGAAGATACTAAGAAAACTGTTAATCTTTCAAGCTAATGAAGTTACGTCGTTACTTTCGACAAACATTTCGCTCAACGTACAACATACCTTGCGTTTCGGTCAAATTTCTGCTGAATCGACTCTTCATCGGCGTCTCGAGGTATGCAGTCCTCTTTCAGCAGCATCTTGTCTAGATCCATGATCTGTTGACGATGCATAAAGATGTACACTATCTTGATGAAAACGCCAAGGATCGAGGGGTACAGGAAACATCTGTCTACAAATTCCTGCATGTTCGTCGACAGGAAAATGTCTGCTAGTCCGTAGAGAGCGAACAACTGTAGCCATGTGAACATGAAGGCGGAGTAAAAGTTATACATCCAATATTTAATCGAATTAACCGGCCAATGCACCGGTCGCCAGTAGCCGGTATATGTAAGCAGAGCAAAAGTCAATGAAAGTATGTGCATCCTCTCGCTTGATGTGGCGGCTTCGTTCACAGCCATTCGTATACCAATAATTTACATAATAGTCCTCCTCCGAGAGAACTTCCCGTCGTCGACGGTTTGTATACGCATGTATCACTCGTTATCGTTGAATATAGAAGAAGTATTTTTGCGGAGGAACGAGAGAACAATACAGAAAAACTGATCGCCGCGTCGCTTCGAAGCGCTGCTCGCAGTTTCCAGCAACGAGAAGCAGACAAACGACGAGTGAAGATCCTAATGACAATAATTACGCAACACGCAACACTTCCCCTCGTGCATTCCTTCCTATTCCCGTGCATATTTTTACATAATACATAATTTTCCTTTCTTTCCTTCCACAGTTTCAATATCATTGAAAAGTTTCCTCGTCCCGGTGGTATAGGTAGACGTATAATGCGTAATTATTACGTCTCCGATTATACCTGCAACCGACCGAAATAATTCATCGGCATACTAGCTCGGAATTATCGCGTAATTATTCGTATCGATTAAGAACTACGGTATGAGAGCCAACAAGAATAAGAAAGAAACGACAAAACGTGTCGCGTGTATATACACACACATATTCCGCAGAATATTCTTACGATACAATTACTGCCCGTTTCTTTCATTATCTTGCAAACGTAAGAGTCGTTTTACCGAGCTGCAAAGTACAATGTTCCACAAAGTGCGTCGCGAAGCGGAAACAGCATGAACACAAACCGACGAGTGAACTGAATAAAGGTAAGTGGCGTATATTTTTTCTCTTTCTCTTTTTGTTTCTATTGAAGCACCGTGTAGAAACGGATATGTAAAAAATATAATTTAATATCGGTCTATCAAGAAAGGATGCACAATTGTGTTGCTAGGCGCAAATACATCTAGTTAGTCCTGTTTGGTTGCGCTCTACCAATGACTTTCGGCATTTTCTTGTCCGTCGAGTCCTCGAGTTCTTTAGGCTTGTAATAATGGAATGCCACTTTCAACAGCCATTTAGTATCGATCTCTGTTACCTGTTACCTGATCTCTGTTACCTGTACGACACATGCAGGCGCACGCATGTTTCATACTCGCCAAACTTCATTTTCAATCGCACCTATGTTCCAACTTGCAGGAAATAGTGAGTGGCTTTTCCTCATTAACGTACCTGACGCATAAATTTCTTAGTAGTAAATATAAGCTCATGATAAAGCAGCCAACGGGAGCGTTCTGAAAGAGGAAATAGTACAAAAGTAACAAGCAACGGAAGAAGCAACTCCTTTACATCCGTTTCTAATGTGTGTACTATGCGCACAAAGTCCAATTACATTAGATTCAATCGGAACATTGATTAAATCAATCCCTCTGTCTGGGTGAATATTAAAACTGCTATTACTATATTATCGAAACATGAGGAAGATTTTCGCTAATGAAGAACAGCGAATGACTGCGGTAACAAGTGGTTTCGCAAATTTGAATTTTTATTTCTATTTCATCAAAACAGCGAAAAATAATTATTTAAATATAGACGACATGTGTTTGTGAAGAAGTCGATCTATTTATTCTACACACTTTATTCTTCTGTATCTAAGAATCTTTCAGAAAGTTGTACGTCGAATAGGATATTTTGAGAATCTGCAAAATAAATAACACACCTAAGTTGCCTTGAAACCCCTTGTTGAAATATTTTCAATTTTGACTCGATCTAATTTCGAGTATACTAACGCTCATGAAGGAATCGACGGTTAAAGTCACCACGTAACCGCTTGACATCGTGAAAGGTTTAGAAGCGCGCATCATTATTATGTTGAGATCCTTCATTATTCGGATTCTCAATGGTGTCCAGTTCATTTCGTAGATAGCATGGCAAACTTCAGCGCTCTGCACGAAATTAATTAAAATCATTATTGATGATCACTTATTATATTTGTTATATTGTTATTATATTTTCAGTTATAAATTCAGCAACTAAGTTTTATATGATCACCTTGAAAATGTTTGAGCTATAAAATTTTTTCACTTTTATCTTTATTGTAGCAATATATTCCACCCATTTTATTTATATATGTAGATACTGGACACTTATCACTGAATAAATTCACTGGATATAATACCACATACAAAAATATAAAATAATATTGGAGAAAATAAAAAAAATATTATTAAATATTAAATTATTATTTTTCCCTCTCGACAGGAAAAATATTTACTAGGGAATAGCGATCTTAAAATTCGGAAAACAAAAATACCAAATGATCTCTACCTTCAGCGTTACCTCATTTCCGTACCAACAATAAAGAAATATCTGCATCAGCATCGAAGCCAGGTAAGAAAAGATATGCGCGAATTCAGGCGTAAATAAAGATGTCATGTTGGACATTCTATAAACACTCATGCACAGAACGAGAGAGATCATGACGAATTGGATGAACATGATCAATGCAAAAACGTCATTGACCATATGTGCGAATCTACAAGTTATGTGATCGCTCGGTTATTATTTCTACCCATAGCTTTCGCGAAATAATATCGTATGACGAATAATAATTGCGGACTTTTATTTCTTCACAATTCAATCGCAAGTGAATACTCACTTATACACGTGAAGATGATGCTGTACCAAATCGCGGATAATCGATTTCTCGCGCGCTCTCAAATCCTGCTCCGACTTGCTGTCCTTTTCAGCTTGCGTTAGCAATATCGGCATTATATGAGCACGATGGCACAAAATCTCGAATTGAGCACAAATTTGGATCATAAGACCAGAGATTAGAGTCTCATGTGCGACGCTGGAATTGGCGCACAGACATAAAGCCAATGACTGATAGATCAGCATAGGCAGGAAGACTGCCATCGACGAGAGGTCGAAGGGCGCCCAATTGTACACTGGTAAAGTGCGCGTCTTCAGGAGCGGATAGAACCGTACGAAGGTCGCAAACATCACACAGCACTCGTTCAAGACCTCGCAAGCAATCGTAATCCTTCTGTGGAATTCCAATTGTCCAATGTGCGCTTGCAAAGTGCTCAGTATAAATATTTTTTTTTTTTATCGATTATATTCATCCATCTGATTACCGGATTACCTTATCGTTAATTAAAAAAGCAACAAGACGAGAAGACAAACACGGTCAATTTTTAAGCAAAGAGGGAAGGAGAGAGAAAAAAGTAATCTTTGAAACGGACCAAGTTATTCCCTTACTAGCTCACTATAGCTTATTTTCGGAAGCTATCATTAAACGAGAAAATATTAAGAAAATTGATCTCTGAAGCTAATGAAGTTACGTCATTACTTTCGGCAACTATTTTGCTCAACGGACCGACATACCTTGCGTTTCGGTCAAATTTCTGCTGAATCGACTCTTCATCGGCGTCTCGAGGTATGCAGTTCTCCTTCAACAGCATCTTGTCTAGATCGATGATCTCTTGACGATGCATAAAGATGTACACTACCTTGATGGAAACGCCGAGGATCGAGAGGTACAGGAAACATTTATCCACGAATTCCTGCAAGTTCACCGACAGGAGAGTGTCTACTAGTCCGTAGAAAGTGAACAACTGTAGCAATATAAACATGAAGGCGGAGTAGACGTTATACATCCAATATTTAATAGAGTTAACCGGCCAATTCACCGGTCGCCAGTAGCCGGTGTACGTAAGCAGAGCAAAAGATACCGAAAGTATGTGCATCCTCTCACTTGCTGTGACAGCTTCTTATATTTTGTTTAGTCACTTGTATACAAATGATTTACATAATAGCCCTCCTCCGAGAGAATTTCCCGTTGACGACGGTTTGTCGACATATATATCTCTCGTAATCGTGGAATATAAGAAATACTTTTGTTGAGAAACGAGAGAGCAATACAGAAAAATTGATCGCCGCGTCGAACTAGCGACATCCAGCAGCGAGGAGCAAACAAACGACTATTTGTTGCACAGTTGACGAGCGAAGATCCCAATAACAACAATTACGTAACACGCAACACTTTCCCTCGTGCATTCCTTCCTATTCCCGTGCATATAATTTTCTATTCTTTCCTTCCACAGTTTCAATATCATTGAAAAGTTTCCTCGTCCCGGTGATATAGGTAGATTATTAGCGCTGGCGAACATAATGTTCCTCCTGTATAATGCATATTACGTCTCCGATTATACCTGCAACCGATCGAAATTATTCATCGGCAAAATAGCTCGGAATTACCGCGTAATTATTTGTCGATTAAGAATCGATTGAGAATCGATTAAGAATTGCGGTATGAGAGCTCGCCAGAGAAAAAAGAAACGGCAAAACGTGTCGCGTGTATACACACGCATATTCCGCAGAATATTCTTACAATATAATTACTGCCCGTTCCTTTCATTTCTTGCAAACGTAAGAGCTGTTTTATTAAGTTGCAAAGTACAACGTTCCGCGAAGCGGAAAGCATGGAATGAACGCAAATCGACGAGTGAATTGAATAGAGGTAAATGGCGTGTCTTTTTTCTTTTCTCTTTTTCTTTTTATTGGTGCGCCGTGTAGAAACGGATATGTAAAAAATATAATTTAATGTCGCTGTCAAGAAGAGATGCACAATTGTGTTGCTAGGCGCAAATATAATAATCTAATTAGTCCCGTCTGGTCGCGCTCTGCCAGTTACTTTCGGCATCTTCTTGTTCGTCGAGTCCTCTAGTTCTTTAGACTTGTAATAATGGGGCGCCACTTCCAACAGCCATTTACTCTCGATCTCTGTCACCTGTACGACATACGCAGGCACACGCATGTTTCAGACTCGTCTCAAACTTCATCTTGAATCGCAAGTATATTCCAACTTGCAGGAAATAGTAAAGGGTTTTTCATCGTACCTGACGCATAAACTCCTTAGTAGTGAACACAAGCTCATGATAGAGCAGCCAACGGGGGAGTTCCTGAAACAGGGAACTGTTCGGATGTATCGCAACCGTTTGATTGTGCTTCGCAGTCTTGTAGTGACCACCTTTGGACAATCGTGCCACGTGATAGAAATAACCAGCTGTAATAGCCTAGAACAGACGCCGCATCGTTATTCCACGAAGAAATTGATAATGACATCGGGGTTTTTTGTATGATATTAACAGACCTTCCTAATGTTAATTGTCTCCGTGATCCCTGAAACCAATTCCATCTCGACACGTTGCATCAGACCTACCAGCTGTTCTCTGACATCCCTCGCCCGTTTCATGGACCTGAAACAACAAGTTATAACAAGACATGTATCGTACGATAATGTTAATATCGTGTGCTCTGCATACGTACCTGTGCTGTATAAAGTTCTCGTAACACCAGTGCGTGCTGAAATCACTCTGCTGCCATTGATTGTACACGTTGAGAAGAGTCAGATGATCCCCGCCAGGTACATGGAAATTTTTTCTTGCAGCGTCCGCGTGTATGATCTTGTCCTTCGGCCTGTAGAAGATCGCGCCGTTCACCGAGAGCATGGCCGCGATAGTCGCCACCTCTTCCGAGCAACGATATCGCTCGCTAGCCAGCAGCATCTTCGCCATCATTGGATCCAACGGGAACTCGGCCATTCTACGCCCGAGTTTCGTCAATTCCCCGCGATGATTCAACGCGCCCAGCGCGTACAGCTGCTCCAACGCTAGAACCAACGTCTCATGCGGAGGAGGATCCAAAAAATCAAAGTGCACCAAGTCATTGATACCGAGCGCTTTCAGAGTGAGCACCGCGTTACCTACGAACGTCAATGCAATATTTGGAATTAAAACAAAAGGAATTAAGTCCAATCCCCGAAAATCCAAGTTACAATGCTATAAGAAAAAGAGAAAGAGAAAAAGAGAGAAAAATCAACGAAATCTTGTTAAGTTGCTTCTTACCGAGATTAATTCTCTGAATTTCAGGCACAGTGTTATCCTCGAGTTCGTGCTGATACGCCCAGGCGGTATACAGCCGGAAGCACTTCCCAGGAGCAACTCGACCAGCTCGACCTGCTCTCTGATTTGCAGATGCTTTACTGATCGGCACGACCATCAGACTCTCCATACCCGTACGTGAATTGAAATTGTTCTGCTTCGCGAATCCGGGGTCTATCACGTACACTATGTTGTCTATAGTTAGCGAAGTTTCCGCTATATTGGTCGCTAATACAACCTAGCGAATAAATGAGAGTCGATTATTTAAATCAGAACAGATCTAACAAAGAAATGAAATAAAAGAGGACTCGGTGTACAAAAGAAAGATATTTCAAAAAATTCGCTTATATAATAGTCGAAAAAGCAAATTACTTTTCTTGCTCCTGGTGGAGTCGGCTGGAATATTTTCGTTTGCATATCGCTCGGTAAATTCGCGTACACGGGCAAAATTAAAAGTTCCGCTAGCTTACTCCCAAGCCTCCTGACTCTCTCCTGCAACATCTCCTGGCACGTCTCGATCTCGTCTTGTCCTGTACACGAAAATGTATATTACCTAACATTGCTTTGGATATTATGTAGCATCACTCCCGTTATAAACATACCAGTCAGGAACACTAGTATGTCACCCGGCGATTGCGTTGTATGAATTTGCAGAATAGAGACTACGCAGGCGTCGATGTAATCCGCTTCCGGTGCTTTCGTATAATAGATATCGACAGGAAAACGACGACCGGGTATCCTGAAGATGGGAGCGTCGTCGAAGAACTCGCTGAACTTCGTGGCGTCCAACGTAGCCGACGAGATCAGGAGCTTCAGATCAGGACGAAACCTCGCGATATCCTTAACTAATCCGAATAATATGTCGGTGTGCAAAGTACGTTCATGCGCCTCATCAATGATCATTACACTAAAATATATATAATAAACTAATAAGAAAATTATTACAACAGTTTGTCATCATATTAAATTTTTCGCGCATGAACGATGTTTAATAATTGAGAAATGGGATAAATATTCTGCACAATTATATCGTCATTTCTTGCTCCCTCCCTATTCTTATCACAATTCTTATTTATAATTCTTCTCTTATGTACCTGTACGAAGCCAGGTCGGGTTCGCTGAGAAATTCTCGGTGTAGCGTACCATCGGTCATGTATTTAATACGAGTACGATGTGACGTACAGTCTTCGAAACGGATAGCATAACCGACTTCATTTCCCAGCTTAACGGCCATCTCGTGGGCTACTCTCGCGGCTACCGACATCGCAGCTACTCGCCGCGGCTGCGTGCATCCGATTATCTTATTGTCCTCTGCAAATCCAGATTCGTACAGATATTGTGGTATCTGCGTGGTTTTTCCCGATCCCGTTTCACCTTCTATTATCAAAACCTGATATTCAAATGTGACATCTCTGGTACACTCAACTACAGCATTCGTCGAGTGACATTCCAAAGTCAACTTTACTCACTTGATGATCCTTGATGGCTTGAATGAGATCATTCCTGAATGGGTAAATGGGTAAACTCTTCTTCGTTTCTTGTATCGTTTGTAAAGTTTTAACATGTGGTGGTGGACTGGCCTCACGTTTCTTGTCTTTGTCATGACCAGGCATACGTAATGCTTGAACAAATTCTATCTCATCCTCCATGAGAAGATCATAATCTTGTTGAGCTGCACACAAACATAATAAAAGATTGTGAGATTAAATTCAAGTCATAGAAAAGTAGGCTACATGAACAACAATTATTGATGCAATAATTCAGAGCATATACCCTTCCTATCTCGAGCACCAAAGCGAAAAACAGCAGATGACATTTGATCCGATTCCCATTTGCTTTGTTCAGATTGTGGTGGTTCTTTATCCATTACATCAGGCTCTGGTTCTATCTTGCCTTCTCTAAGCGGCATGTGATAACGCTGGATACGTTCAAGTTCTCTTGCCTTTTCATGCTCTTTTGCTAAATGCAGTAACTGTTTCTTATGAGCTCTTTCACGTTTTTCTCTCTCTGTTAAACTGTAATGAAACATATAATTGATAAATTATTTCATCCTAAGAACTAAATTAAAATTAAATTTCTCTTTAAACAATTACATTTCTTCTTCAAACAGATATTCATCGTCAAGAATGTCAGCCTCCAGTTCAGCCACTTTGTCCTCTTTACGTTTCTCCAGATATTTCCTACGAGATTCAATACGTAGTTTTGGCACCAGATGATCTCTGGTATCAGTTTCAATGATCTTAAGCCTCTTTGCAGCTTCAGCTACAGGAAATAATAAACAGTAATAAATAGCTATGATAAATATCTTTATCTTAACAGATGCTTTAATAGTTCACACATGACCATTTTATTGTGTATATTAATTAAGTTAATATTAACAGATAGCCCTTTTGTAACAAACCTGCTCCAGAACCAGCCGGCATAGCAATCTTGCGTATCTTGCTTTCATCTTTGGCTTTAAGACGACTGGCAAAACTGTCTCTTTCCTTGATATCCTTCTTGCGACGTTCTTCCTCGCTATCACTGTCCTCACTTGAAGTTACTTCACGCCTGTATTTACTCATTTTGAAAGGTAAAGGTTAAGTTTACCTAAAATAAAATTTCCGTTATGAAACAACATCGATATATTAGAAAAATTCAGCGATAAATAACACATTTATTTGCACAAACAGAAATACGACTTTACATTAAAAAAAAGTTCGATAATCTGCTTCCAACATATACAACATCCACTTCCTTATCATTCGCTTGCAGCAGAAGTGGACGACTGATAAATCGATGTACGACTTTTTAAAGGATCGATTATCTTCTCGATATTTTTGAGAATCTAAAAGAACAGAAAAATAAAATTTGAATTTTGTTAATTCCAAAATTCATAGATCTTTAATTTAGTATTAGTAGAAAATATACGAAATTAAGAGATTATTTATTTTGAGCATGTGTTGAAATCTGCTGTTAAAATTTAACGGGACGTGACTTTCGTAAAATATAATGATGAGTTAATTCGGAAAATATGTCATGACTCAAAGTCTTAATTTTCAATTATATAAATAAATACAAAGTTTATTTATTCGTTATGATAATTTCCGAATATAAATCTAGATTCGTCATATATTAAAATTATTAAATTAAAATTATTAAATATTAAAAATTTTGGTCATTACGTATACTAAAACTTATATATAATCTACACAATTTAATTACCTATAATTACCTTTTACTTTGTATAATAGTAGATTGTTATGTAATTTTCTCTCAAATCAATTAACATTGAAGTAAAAGAAATCGTTTCATACATTTTTCATTGCTCATTCAAGATGAATAATTTAATACGTGATATTTGTTAAGAAATGAATAAAAAACACAAAATATTGTAAAATTTTCTCACTTAAACAGATCGTCATCCTTTTGTTTCTAATATTTATTAATTATTCACTTTAGACCTGTTATAGTAATTAGACCCTTTATTATTATTAGTTCCGAAGCTTCCGTTACGAGTCGCCACTATCTTTCATTACAATTCGAGCACGTGGTATGATTTAGCGCGATTGTTTAGAAGTACATTTATTTATTTTTCAAGTTCCTACAATTCAACAACTTAGAAATCTTTTTAATTTTGACCTAATTAAGCTTAATTTCGTTTTAACATGAAGCTGGAAAAAAAATTGAAAAAAAGGAAGGATACTGTAAGAAAGTAGACATATATTTTTGTCGTTGTAGTAGATTTATTCGTATTATTTCGTCAAATATAATAATGTTTAAATTATATCAATTAAATATACTATAGAGAGAGAGAGAGAGAGAGAGAGAGAGAGAGAGAGAGAGAAAGAGAGAACGAAAACGAATAGATAAATAATATTCCTAAATTTCTATCACTGCTATTGATACAGGTTTGAATTTTTCTCTCTTTTACATAATTCGTGGTAAACATATTCGTAGCCAGCATTTTAACTGCAATTTTAAGCAGCAAATTGCATAAATAAAATTTTCAATTTACTACATCGTTGCTTTCATTGTTTACGCTTTTTTATCACGCGTCAACCTCGAGTATACATATACGTACGAGAAATGTAGTAAAATGTAGAAAATTACGAATGCGCTTCCGGTATTTCATTCGTCCTCAAGATTATCGTATTGCTATATTAAATTTTGCAGCATATATCGTACAATGTTTCAATAGTTTCGAGAAAGATTAAATGTTTGTGAATAAATCACCAAACTATGAATTATCAAACACGAAAGAAATACATATTTTTCTTTTTTCTATCTAAGAATCTTTTAGAAAATTGTATGCAGAGTAGGATACTTTAAGGATCTGCAAAATAGATAAAGCAACTAAATTATTTTCAATCTTGTCAAAATATTTTCAGTTTCAACTCGATCCAATTTCAAGTATACTAACGCTCATGAAGGAGTCGATGCTTAAAGTCACCACGTAACCGCTTGACATTTTAAAGGGTTTAGAGGTACGCATCATTATTATTGTGAGATCCTTCATTACCTGAACTCTTAATGGTGTCCAGTTCATGCCATAAACAGCATTGCGAATTTCGACACTCTGCAAGAAATTAATTAAAATTATTACTTATAGCTTATATTTTCCATTGATATAACTTTTACATGATGATGATTTACATTATCTCGAAAACGTTTGCTATTGAAAACTATTGGAAATTTTTGTTATTACTTTTATCCTCACAATATATCATTGATTTTATTTATTCATATTCATATTAAACAATTACCACTAAATAAATTTTCAGTAAATCAAATACCAGGTGTGGCGGTTAATAATTCTTAATTTTTTTAAGAGATGGCGCTGGAAACAAGGATTGGTTCACAGTCTAACTTCTTATGTCATTTTGTTGCTATGACAGTACTTTTCAAAATGCCATTGATGTTTAAACGATTTTGAGTTGGCGTCATTTTTTTCGTGTGGTAAACATGTCGAGTTTCAAGCCAAATAAAGAGCATTTGCGGCATGTACTGCTGAGCACGTACTGCTTTTCTTGTTCAGTCAAAAGAAAAACGCGAGTGAAAGCCGTCGTATACTTGTGGAAACTTACGGTGACAATATCCTAACGCAAGACGCTTGTATGCGTTGGTTTAGACGATTCAAAAGTGGTGATTTTGACTTGAAAGACAAAGAACGCCCAGGTCAACCGAAAAGATTTCAAGATGCCGAATTGCAAGCATTGTTGGACGAAAACGATACGCAAACTCAACAACAAATGGCAGAGAGGTTAAATATTGGTCGCCGAACCATTTGTCATCGTCTGCATGCCATAGGAAAGATCCAGAAAGCAGGAAAATATGTACCAATCAGTTGAACTACAGACAGATGGAAAAGCTAAAAACCAGAGTGCGAAGTTTTGCTTTCTCGGCATAAAAGAAAGCCTTTTTTACATCGGATCGTGACTGGAAACGAAAAATGGATATATTTCGAGAACCCAAAACTCAGAAAATCATGGGTTGACCCAGGACAATCATCAACATCGACCGCAAGATCGAATCGCTTTGGAAAGAAGACAATGCTGTGCATTTGGTGGGATCAGAAGGGTGTCGTGTACCTTGAGCTTCTGAAACTAGTTGGAACAGTTGATACCGTTCGCTACCGTCGACAAATGATCAATTTGAACCATGCATTGATCGAAAAGCGACCAGAATGGGCTACAAGACACGGAAAAGTAATTTTGCAGCACGACAACGCCCCATCACACACAGCGAAAGCGGTCAAAGACACCATTTCTACACTTGGCTGGGAACTCTTGCCCCACGCGCCGTATTCATCAGACTTGGCCCCTTCCGACTACCACTTGTTTTCATCGATGTCTCACGCGCTCTCCATGAAACATTTCAACAATTACGGAGATGTCGAAAAATGACTTGATGATTAGACCACCGCAAAAGATGTACGGTCTTTCTGGGAGGGCATCCACAAATTGTCAGAGAGATGGGAAAAATGTGTAACTAGCGATAGCGCATACTTTGAATAAACCATTTTTTACCTTTCTCCCAATTTAAACGTGTTTTTTTAAGAAAAAATTAAGAATTATTAACCGCCACACTTGGTATTTTGTAAAATGTAAAATAAAATAAAAGATATTATAAAGATATTATAAAATGTTAAAAATGTAACAGTTTAATAACTTTTAGTTTCTCGAGAAATAAAATTGTGATCTCCCGGTGATGAAAAATCGCAAAAAGAAATAATGAATTATCTCTACCTTCAGAGTTACCTCATTTCCGTACCAGCAATAAAGGAATATTTGCATTAGCATCGCACCCAGGTAAGAAAAGATATAGGCGAAGTCAAGCGTGAATAACGATGTCATGTGAGATATCTTGTAGACGCTCATGCAGAGAACGAGAGAGATTATGGAGAATTGGATGAATATTATCAACGTAAAGACCGCATTAACCGTATACGCAAATCTACAAATTACGAGGATACTCCGTTATTATTTATATCCATAGTTTCACGAGATAATATCGTAAAACGGATAATAATTATGGAATTTTATTCCTAGTAATTCAGTTGCCGGTAAATACCCACTTATACACATAAAGATGATGTTGTATCAAATCACGGACGATCAATTTCTCGCGCGTTCTCAAATCCTGCTTCGACTCGCTGTCTTTCTCAGCTTGCTTCAGCAATATCGGCAATATATGAGCGCGATGGCACAGAATCTCGAATTGAGCGCAGATTTGAATCATAAGGCCGGAAATTAGAGTCTCATGTGCGACGCTGGAATTGGCGCACAGACATAAAGCGAATGACTGATAGATCAGCATAGGCAGGAAGACGGCCATTGACGAGAGGTCGAAGGGCGCCCAATTGTACACCGGCAAGGTACTTGTTTTCAGGAGCGGATAGAACTGTGCGAAGGTCGCGAACATCGCGCAGGACTCGTTCAAGACCCCGCAAGCAATCGTGATTCTTCTGCGGAATTCCAATTGTCTAAAATGCGCTTGCAAAGTGCTATAAATTTATGTTTTATTTTTTATCATTTATGTATTATATATTTATGTATTATATACAGGGTTTTTCAATTGGTGCGGGTCGATGTTGGCAGCCTGTGGCGGCCATGTTGTTTTGGCGGCGTCTGTCTAACCTGTTGTTTATTATTCAGTCACTGATGCCAAATCACCATAACAAGTTACACGATTGAGCAGCACGTCCAAATGATAAAACTTTATTGTCAAAATGAGTGTTCGTTAGTGCAAACGTTGCGCGCGTTGCGCCCATTTTACGGCAGACGCGGTGGCCCTTCAAAGTCGACTCTCCAACGTTTGGTGGTCAAATTCGAGACGACCGGTTCGGTAAACGATCAGCCAACACCCGTACGTCAAAGGAACTCTAGATCGGCCGAGAACATCGCCACTGTAAGTGAAAGTGTACAGGAGAACCCGAGGCAATCAATTCCTCGCTGTGCACAAGAACTCGGCCTTTCGCAGACTTCAACTTGGCGAATTTTGCGTCGGGACTTGGGCCTGCACCCGTACAAGATCAAACTGGCTCAAGAGCTCAAAGTTAATGACCATAGACAACGCCGTTTGTTCGCTGACTGTCTTCGGAGCATTTGGAAGAGGACCCCAATTTTGGCCGAAAAATCATCTTTAGCGACGAAGCGCATTTTTGGATGAATGGCTATGTTAACAAGCATAATTGCCATATATGGCACGACGCCAACCCACACGAGGCTCACCAGGTAGCAATGCATCCACAAAAAGTTACTGTTTGGTGCGGATTTTGGGCCGGCGGCGTCATTGGTCCGTACTTTTTCGAAAACGACGTTGGTGAGGCCATCACCGTCAATGGCGAGCGCTACAGAACGATGATAACCAATTTCTTTTGGCCCAAATTGAACGATATGGACGTGGACGACATGTGGTTCCAGCAGGACGGCGCTACGTATCACACAGCGGACGCCACGATGGACATTCTGCATGAACGATTTGAGGGTATAGTTATCTCTCGCAGAGGTGACGTGAATTGGTCACCAAGATCGTGCGATTTGACACCGCTAGACTTTTTCTTGTGGGGTTTTCTGAAGTCGCAGGTCTATGTCAATAAGCCGCAATCGACCGATGCCCTTAAAGTCAACATAACCCAGGCCATCGTTCAAATTCAGCCGGATCTATGCGGCAGAATCATTGAAAATTGGACCACTCGGATCCGTGCCACCGTGAGAAGCCGCGGCGAACATTTGAACGATGTTATATTCCACACATAATGGCATACATGGGCCTTTCAAATAAAAAAATAATTTCGTTAATACCTCACACACAGCTAGTTTTATTCCATTGCAACATCGACCCGCCCTTATTGAAAAACCCTTTATTATGTTCATCCATCTGATTACCTGACTACCTTATCGTTAATCAGAAAAGCGACAAGAAGCGACGAGAAGATCAACACGGTCAATTTTTAAACAAAGAGGGAATGAGAGAGAAGAAACTAATCTTTGAAACGAACCAAGTTACTACGTTATCATTTTGTTCAACGAACAAACGTACCTCGCGTTTCGATCGAACTTCTGCTGAATCAGCTTTTCATCGGCATCTCGTGGGATGCAGTTCTCCTTCAACAGCATATCACCCAAACCGATGATTCGTCGCCGACGTATGAAGAGATGCAAGAGCTTGATGGAGACACCGAAGACCGAGAGAAATAGGTACAACTTGTCCACAAATTCCTGCAGACTCGCCGAAGAGAAAGTGTCCACCAGCCCGTAGAACACGAACGACTGCAGCAGCGTGAGCATAAAGCTGGAGTAGATGTTATACATCCAATATTTAATCGAGTTAACCGGCCAATGCACCGGTCGCCAGTAGCCGGTATAGGTGAGCAGAGCGAACGACACTGGAAGTATGTGCATCTTCTTACTGGCTAGTGATGGCTACCTACGTCTTGATCACTCACTCGAGCAACAATTTGCATAATTGTCCTCCCCCATGGGAATTTCCTCCGAAGAATTTATATTCTGTTATTCGCCGTTGATGGTGCGTATCGTTATTATTATCATAAATATTGAGTATCTTCGCTTAAAAATAGGAGAAAAGTTCAAGAAAAGAGTTCAAGAAAAGAGTTCAAGAAAATCGAACGCTGCGTCACTTCGTGATGGTCCGCAGCGTGGGAAGCCGCGAGCAACAATACTGATGACGACAATTCCGCGACGCATTTTTCCTTCGGCTATTCCTCTCCTCTTTTGTGTATATATATTTTCTTTTCTCTTTCTTCCACTGTCTCTCTTGATATCATTAAAAAGTTTCATCGTTCCGATAATACAGGTATACCATTAGTATTTGCCGACATTATGTTCTCCTGTATAATGAATTATTACCCCGTCGATTACCTGCGGCTGAACGAAATTATTCATTTGCAAAGTACTGCGGAATTACCGAGTAATTATTCGTAACGGTTAGGAATTGTGAAGTTCAGTATATGTATATTCCATTGAGGTTTTAATTATTCAAATACGTCTTTCCTTTCTTCTCCTTTCTCAATATCTTTCCTCTCTCTAGCATCAAAAATGGAAAACAGGAAATGACATTTGACTCGATTTCCATTTTCTGTGTTTGGATTGTGGTGCCTCTGTCCGTTACATCAGGTCTTAACTCTATTTTGTTTTCTATAAGAAGTATGTGGTAATACTGAATACATTCAAATAGCTTAGCTTCAGGAAAAACAACAGATAGTAAGTAACTGTAATAAATCTTTATATTGATAGACACTTCAACAGTTCATAGACGTAACCATTTTATTTTACATTTAATATTGATAAATAATCCTCTTGCAACCTGCTCCAAAGACAGCCGGCATGGCAATTATGTGTAATTTGTTTCCATATCTGACTTTAAGACTAACGAAGCTAACTCTCTCTTCGTGGTATAAAATTCGGAAATAAAATACGGCCAATTTGTCGTTGAATCGTGCTACGTCTTTGCCTGTTTGGGAAAAATAATTGCGGCTTACTCTCTCTTTCTCTCTCTCTCTCCCTCTCTCTCTCTCTCTCTCTCTCTCTCTCTCTCTCTCTCTCTCTCTCTCTATGCAAGAACTTTAAACTTGCGAATAATAAACCCGGTTAATCTCTTTAACACAGCGGTGCCATCTGAATGCTTCTGAGAAAAATTATTTGCTCTCGGGGTAAATAAGATTCGAGTCTCTGCTAAATTTCACCCGTTAAACCCGTTTTAGCTGATAGATCCCTTATTGCTATTAATTTCGAAGTCTCCGCTACGAGTCGCCACTGTCTTTCAGGAGAAATCGAACACGTAGCCGGTTCAGAAGGCGTTTGTCCCGAAGTACGCTTATTTTTCAAGCTTTTACAGTTTGGAAGCTTAGAAGTTCCTTTCAGTTTCAAATGGTATGTCTCGTTATTCGACAGAGGCCAGAAAATATCAATATCAAAACTGTAACTGACTTTGGCATATTGTTCATTCCGCAGGGAAGAGTTACGAAGGCGAGCTCAGCGCGCACAATCTCGACGACCGCTCGCAAATCGCTCTGGAAAATGGAATTCCGGCCATCGCGTCGGCAGGATTCGCGCGAGCGAATTTGGAATTTCGGACATTTTCATCAACAGCGCGACAGAGCCTGCCCGGAGCGCGGCCGGTCAACAAGCCGTTACGGCCCTTCTCCGTTTGCGCAGCTACCAGTCGTTCGCATGCACAGTGCCGCGTCAGTACATGCGGTAACATTGCAGCGTGCGGATCATCGTTCCTGATCCTGCGGAGCCAACGACGCACCTTCCGCGATCGCGCCCATCGCGGCTGACAGTCCCGGCTCTGGCCCATCGTCGTTGAATCGCGGAGATAAACAGCGCGTCGCACAATCGCTCGTCGTCTCCGAGAGCGCGGCACTCCGGCAAGGTTCGTTAAACGCGACACCGCTGTTGTCGTCGTTGCTCCGAGTGAAAAAAAGGATCGAATCCATCCGTCGAGCAGCGAGATCCACGCAGACGGACATATATCGTGACCATGCCCGCGGACGCCGAGCTCAGCAACCTGCTCAGCAGACGACAGAGGATCAACAATGAGCTCGAGGAGGGCAAGGAAGTGAAGAAGCAATACAAGTTTGTCAACGTCTACACCGAGTTCCACGAGTTGTCGCGTCGCGAGATCAAGCAGTACGAGCAGACCTTCAACAGGTGAGCGCAGTTCTTCCTCGCTCCAAACTTATCGTTGCCCGCTATCGCTATCGGAAAAAACATGTCAGCTGTGACAAGTCGAGGCCAGCCCGGCGACGATATCGCGCATAATGATATGACGATTTTATTGTAGCGCTTGTCCGACGTCAAAGTGTCATTTCGTTTCGAAATGTGGGGAAAAGTCGACAGGTGAGAAGGATGTTAACAAGAATATATTCGCATATTTCCACCGGTACATTGTGTACCTTTCTGTACCGCTTAGTCCATATTAATGCTGAAATTAGTGCAGCAATCGAGAAAACGACAAACGGCGGCACAGACACGCGCGACACTCCCCGAGCTTATGTCATTCCTGCTAACACAAGTTCGCGCGGATGAACATAAGTTCGAACTCTTTCTTGCCCTTTATATGGCTCGAGGTAAACACCGGTTTGTAGCCGGCGTTCGCATCTGCGACTTTAAACGGCCGAACTGCACACGTATAGTTGTCACTTTAATAGGCGCGCACTTGCTGCCGCCGCGGCGATGCGCCGTTTATTTCTTTCTTTGCCGTCGCGAGTCAGCCTGAAATACGCACGCACGTGCAATCAGACGGTGATAAACGTTTCTTCGCGAGGACAGGTGCGAGGCCCCTGCTCTCATTAACGGCGGCGAAATATCTTCGCGTATGTCGCGTACGCACGAACTCGTCGACCTTATCGACGTCGATACGAAACGGTATTGATCGATCAACGATTTTCGCGCTGACTCACACCGCGCGATTTAAAATGCACAGACGTGACGTCACTTTCGCGCGAACCCGCAGCGACGCAATATCTGTGTTCTATCAGAGCAGATTATGCAGCCGGGAGGATTTTATTCAAGGCGATCGGTATGTTTCGCTCTTTCTTCATCATCCACGGCTTCTCTGTGTCGTCTCCTTCGCAATGTCTGCAGCAACGACGGCAGAGACAAACACGTCCTCTAGCCGTGTTTTCCATTGCCGCGCAGGAATCTCTGGATTTTTTCCAAGCCCAATCGAGCTCGAAATATTTGAGATTCGCGTTCCGCATACCGATCTCCGTGGCCGCGCATTCGCTACACGCGATTTACGTTACAGCGCTCGCGCGATTACGTTTCACCGAGCGTTGTTGTCGCTGCGAGAGCAGCGGATTTTCTCCCCGTGGTATGTCTTCATTGCAGCATCTCCTTTGCGAATTTTCAGTCCGAGGATAAAAGAACCCTTTCCTCCACCCCCTCTCTCTCTCTCTCTCTCTCTCTCTCTCTCTCTCTCTTTCTCTCGCGCTCTTTTCCTTTTTCTCAATTTAAAATTTCATGCTCGAGGTTTCGTCGTGAGCAGTCTCTTGCGCGCGCTATCACCGCCGCTTAATCGTCGCAGCATCTTATTGCGACGATAACGAACTTCGTTACGAAACTCGCGAGATTACTTGTGTAAACTGAAAAGAAAAAAACATTACACGGTAACACGACGACGACTTGCGTAGCGAGTCCAAAAGTTAAGGGCCGCAACCAGCCGTGGCGACCTAACGCTAAATAACGATTTCCAGCGGTAACAATTGATGGAAGTGATAATTAGAACATGACCGTGCATTTGTGCGCTTGTACGTATGTGTCTGTCGCGTATATGTGTGTGTTTATTTGTTTATTCATTACGCTCGCGATGATACCTAACGATGTTTTCTATCGTTCGAATTGACTTTTAAATGAAAACACACATCTCGTTCCGAGCGATTCGGCAAGAAAGATCGCCCAGAGGAACACCTAACAGAGATCGCATCGTTAGAGGAATTCCAAGCTCGCCAGCGACCAAGGGCTCAGCCTGAAAAGGTACCAACGCTAAACGCTGATCGTGCCTTAAGCTCGCCGTTTAAATCACGACGCTGAACTCTCTCGATCACGCCGGTCTAACCCCACGTCGGGATTCTCGAAAAGAAACGAAACTAATCCCAGAATTCCAAGGCGATGCGGCTGATTTACGAGTCCTCCCTTTGCGGAATTGCATTATCTTTCTTTTTTTTTTTTTTTACAAAACTGCTCTTCTTTGTCATCGCGCTGTTGTCACCGTGGTCCTCGCCGAGCAACCCGAGAGGAACGTCGTCCACGCTGTATCTCTCCGACCGCGTCGTTGTCAAACCTGCTGCCAGGTTGACTCCGAAATACCTACCTACTCCGAGACACAAAGGGCGTAGGTACCGTGGATGGACGAGGGGCCAGGCGCGGCGAGAGAGAGCCGGGGGACCCCGAGGTCGTCTGCCCTCAGCGTGCAGCTTGCATTTCTTCTCTCCCGAAGAAATGCACGTCACGAATCCTACGGTCCGCGTTCGCGGTTTCGTAATGATCGAGGCGTGCGACTCTCCTCTCCTCTCCTCTTCTCCTGGCTCCTCTCTTCCTCCTCGCGCTCCTCCTTCTCTGTCTCTTTGGCCTCTCGTTGTCGACGCTCTCGCAATTTTCTTCTTCTCTCGGCGGCGCACCTTTGTCGGAAAATTACGTGAATTCACTACTCTTTCTCTCTCCCTCATCCTCCCCCTCTCTGTCTCTCTCTCTCTCACACTCTGCTCGACGCGTTTCTCTGATAATGAAGCTTAAAAATCACCGCCGTGCCGATGAATGGACGTCGATCTTCGCGATCGTGACCACGTTTACCTCGCTGGGAAGCTTCGCTCGTTCTTCGACGCGCACGTGCTGCGCGATGGATGAATCGCAAAACGCGAAATCGAGAGAGGATCTACCTGGACGAAATTGACCTCGCGCGAAATATCATCGAAACGGGTCGAAAATACGAACGCGTCTTTTTCTTATTGTCATGTAGCCGTGCCGACTGCCGAGTTTCGCGGCGTACATCGTGCGAGGTTTCGACAGACTTTCGAGTGGAACTCGGCGAGGGTGGAGAGACACGTGACCGTGGCCCTCCGCGACGGAAAGGTCGAGTGTGAGACGAGTTAACTCGGACGGGTCGAGGCGAGGTTTCGGCGGAAACATGTCGCCCGCGTCTACTCCTACGACTCACGTCGACGGCCGGGGGCAGAAGGTAACCGGTTTCGCGGCGATGCGACAAGGACGACTCCTTCGAGGAGAACGCGACGCGGACGCGCGGCAATCATCGGCCCTTCCGGATGACGTATCGCCGCACGCGGGATACGCACGTGCGCGCGCTGCGGGCGACAGAGCGAAAGCCCCGTGTCGCGAGCCTTTTACCGCGCGGCTGTTTCGGCGGAGAAAAGTTAATCCCGCACTACGCAGATGGCCGAATTAATCGGCCCGCGTAGGTGGCACGAAACGCGGTTACGAGGCTGTGAGGAACGGAATTTCAGCGAGTTTCAGCAAGCTCCAACGCGTTGGGACTCCGGCGGAAGTTTGCCCACCGCCTACTTCAACACCCCAAAAAAAGGTTAATTTCAGAACAAACGGAATCATCTAAGGTAAATATATAGAAAAGAGTATGTACACCTCACCGATTTTTTCATTTTGAAATATGTTATAAAGGATGAAATTCTGAGTGACTTCTCCTAATACAATTATACGGGGACCGCTTATAGTTTCTCAGATATTTGACTTTAAAGTTTTATAATTGTACGTTGAAGTATATTTGAAGTAGACAAGCAGTTTTCATTCACTTTAAATATAGGAAACAGTACATATAAGCGGGAGAGGGGCTCCGCCTCTCTCTCGCACCCCTTCGCACCAAACAAATACTAACCTAATCTAACTTATTGCATCTTTATATATTTTTGGACATTGTTAAAAAAAGTTCTCTTAAGATCTATCACCTGGCTCGATTTAACTTATTATAATATCTGCATATAATGAGGTGTTGTGGCTTTTAAGGAGATCTTTTCAACATTGCTCAACAATATATAAAGATGCAATAAGTTAGGTAAGGTTAGCATTTCTTGGGGAGGGGGTGCGGGGGAGGGGCGGAGCCGCTTATATGTACTGTTTCCTATATTTCTATGTATACACTATGTTTGGATTAACTGTTTGGATTGTACTGTAAATAACGTCAGCTTATGATATCTGGAATTTAATTCCAGGATAATCAAAATTCCAAAACTTAAAAATCAAATATCTCGGAAACTATAAGTGACCCCCATATAGTTGTATCAGGAAGTCACTCCGAATTTCATCCTTTATAACATATTTCAAAATGAAAAAAACCGATGAGGTGTACCCCTTTCTATATATTTACCTCTACTTCAAATATACTTCAACGTACAAATATAAAACTTTAAAGTCAAATATCTCAGAAACTATAAGCAACCCCCATATAATTGTATTAGGAAAAGTCACTCAGAATTTCATCCTTTATAACATATTTCAAAATGAAAAAAATTGGTGAGAGTGAGGTGTACCCTTTTCTATATATTTACCTCATCTAAATTTTAGAGGATTTTATTCTTACATATATGGCCTCAAGAGGATTCCTCTAAGATTAAGAGGAATAAAACAAAAAATTAAGATTATCTAATAGATTTTAGATGAAAGGTTCACTTTAATCACTCGATCGAAAGGGGAATCCTTTTCCTTAAAAGGCCTCTCTTGGAATACGAGACTATGGGAAAAATCACTTTGCAAATAGAATACTTTTTTTGGGGTGTTAACGATTATCCAGCAGTTCACTAGGTCATAAATGTTACGTAAGAAATTTGAGTATCAAGTTTAATTAAGCACAGTTTTATTTGAGTACAATTTGTCGTTCTTAAGCCGCGCCTTGAGAGACAAATCTCTTGCGACTCTCCTATTAGATGAGTTTGCTTGGAACGATCTATATACAACAGCTAGTAAAGATTATTCCCAGAATTACCGTGAGTCATGAAAGTTACTCGGAGGTACTACATTATCGTGCTTATCACTAGTTACAAGCGGCCCGCCTTTTATCTGAAGATTCATGAGATCACCATATATACGCAGATCACGTCTGGACTCTCCTCATACAAGTCGTCATTTCTCTTCGCGCGATCATTCATACAGTCGTGCAAACTCCGAATCTGAACACACGAACT